TCTGTGTTTGTTCACTAAATGTTAATTATCAACATTGTTACAGTTGTTGTCTTGTTATTCTGTGTTTGTTCACTAAATGTTAATTATCAACATTGTTACAGTTGTTGTCTTGTTATTCTGTGTTTGTTCACTAAATGTTAATTATCAACATTGTTACAGTTGTTGTCTTGTTATTCTGTGTTTGTTCAGTAAAAGTTAATTATCAACATTGTTACAGTTGTTGTCCTGATATTGTGTGTTTGTTCGTGTTAATTATCAACATTGTTACAGTTGTTGTCTTGTTATTCTGTGTTTGTTCAGTAAAAGTTAATTATCAACATTATTACAGTTGTTGTCCTGATATTCTGTGTTTGTTCATGTTAATTATCAACATTGTTACAGTTGTTGTCCTGTTATTCTGTGTTTGTTCACTAAATGTTAATTACCAACATTGTTACAGTTGTTGTCTTGTTATTCTGTGTTTGTTCAGATGTCGATAGTAAAACTTTACGATACTGTAAATGTTTAATTAGCAACATTATGGCAGTTGTTGTCCTGTAATTCTATTATACAGTAAATATTAATTATCAACATTGTTACAATTGTTGTGCTGTTATTACGTATCTCTTCAGATATCCTGTCTGTTCTTATGGTGTTTCTTCACTCGTAGATGTGCAATCAAGGATAACAGGATTACTTCACAGTTCCTGGAGTTCATTACCAATTCTAAGTGAATAGAAAACGAATTATTGAATTCCACAGAACACACACTAATTGTATCATGTAAAGTTTGAGAAACCGTAGATAACGTTAGCTAAAAGAAAAACATCAGTCACCTGGGTAAACTGGAAAAGAAAGATTAATTAAATTAGATTAACGTTGAAAACAGACTTACGTGTGTAGCTCACCATCGGTCTTCGAAAGTTTTCATTAACCTTTATTAACGTTTCACAGACGTTTATATATGTGTGTATATTACTCAAACCTCCAGAGAAAGCAGCCAAGTGTATTTAATATATTGAATGTTATTAGCAAGTTGATGTCGAACATATTTATAATAAACCGTTTTATTGTATGCTACGTGTATTCGTTGTTTTTATCTGAAAAATCGTTATATTAAAATAAACATTTATACTCATAAATAATGCCATTACTATATACTTTAAAGAAGAAGTAACATGAACAAACGTATAAACAAGGAATGTATGGGAATGGAGATTAATAATTGTGAGAAATATACATGTCTATCGTATGATATATTAAAGTTACATTTAATGTTTTATTACTGTACAATTACTCGCCTTGTTCTGGCAGTGAGAGTTTACTATAAAGCACGAACTGATGCGATCTGTGGAAACGACAAGAAATGAACGAGAATTATACTTTATCAGTTGTTTTTTTATATTTTTTAATTAGAAACTTCCTTATATATGCGTGGGTATATGTTGTTTTTCTTCTAATTGTTCAACGTTAGTTTCCAGC